GATTAGCGAGGAAAACATGTGACCTCGTAGGGCGACTTCAGTCTTGACATTCTAAAACCAGGGTGAGTCGCTGTTGATGTCCGCTATTCCAAACACTATTCTAACACTCAACAATCTTACAAGAATAACTGTTTCATATCTAACTATAATCGATCATACCCGGTGAAATTATACCACAAACATACTGTACTTTCAAATTATATACGAAATACTTTTATCTTTACTCTGTGGCGGTCACCTTTAAACCTGACGTGAAACTTGGTAATGCGGAAACAATTACTACCGTGATGACATTAGCCCCACTGTCTTCACTACCTTCTCTCTCATACTTGAAATAACGAGACATTAAGCAATATCAGAATACAATATAAAAACTGGTATCAAGACAATGATATTAGTATGAAAAAACTTCAAAGGAAACAAATAAAAAGAATATACAACTGCTTCAAGTGAAGGATTTTGGAGAATTCACAATCGAGTGACCAAGCTGTGAGGACTAATGGATGAAACTGTTACTAAACCACTTGAGAATCAGATGCTCACAACAAAAGAAAAACTTCGAGTGTAATTTAGTTTATTTTTTTAAACATTAATTAAAGTAAATTCAAATCTTCAACGCCGCCTTCAAGGTAAATGATACAAATACAACTGAATTGAACTCTCAAACACTGCTTGTCGCCTCAACAAAGATTTCATTACACCTTGCAGAAGATATCCCCGAGCTCCGTGTGGACCTTAATACCCATCTTCACAAGAGATAAAATAATGTGTTAATCTTATCTCCTGTTACTGGAGGTGAACTAACAGAAGTAATCAGGGAATTCAAAGCTTCTGTCGCTGGTAATGATAACATTAGATGCGCGTCGTTAAGATAGTGACTTCATTACCGACAACTTTTTTCTACACAAGCTTACATCATCTTTGGCTGGTGGTATTTTCCCCAGACATATTAAAAATTGTGTAAGTAAAACCTGTATATTCAGATCCAATGTGAAGAGTCTTTTCAAAGATTAACGACCCATATTAGTCCTCCTGTCTCCGAGTAATGAGAACTGGCACATAACACACTAGAATTCTCTTGCATTAACAATATTATTATTACAGGGACCCGTGATGGTCTCAGGGCATGATGATCCACTGAACCTACTTTACTGTCTTCATTAGTAATATTTTCAACCCTTCTCATAACCTAGAGACAGCTGCAGTATTCCTAGGCCCTTATAAAGTGTATGGCACACAACCTTACCAAGAGTTATCCCTCTATGGCATTATAGGCTTAAGATACAGGTGGGTGGCGTCTTACCTCACAAACAGGAAGGTGTGTGGCCAACAATATTACCTCTGGTCCTTCCTGTACGGTGTGCCACAAGACTTCACCCTTGGACCGGTACTGTTTCTGTTGTATACAAGTGATAGAGTTAAGTCGATCGCCCATAATAAATGACTTAATGACGACAGTGAACTTTATGTTAGCCATACAGATTCTTGATCTTTAAAAGGCGCCATGAATCGTGAGTTAGCTAATGTGAGGCTCTGGATCTTGTATGACAAATTGACCGTTTAACCCTGAAAAAACTCATTACGTGTTTTCCACAGAAGAAAAACTCGATTCTCAGACTTAGCTTCTCTGTGCACTTGAAGTATAATTCTTAAACGAGAATACACTACCAAGTACCTAAAGATTACTACTGAACTGAAACAAACACAACGGGATATTCAACATATAACCAATAAACAATAGTGCATCATTAATCAGTTGCTCACCGCGAGAGATTTATAACGTGTCTACAATCCTCAATTACTCACACCTGTTATCACTACCATACAGTACACTCAGGACAGCTTCAAGCACCACAATGACAAAACCTCTGGCTAGTTCTGCGAAAGTCGGATTACTTAAAAAAAAATATATATATATTTCCAAAACTCGAATGTGTTGAAATCTGATAATACTGACTTTTATTGTTGTGTCTTATTTGTGTTTACTTCTACTAACAACCTTCTTGACAATAACTATCTTCAGTATCGGACAAACAAGAGTTACCACCTGACCGACTGAGCCACTACCCAGAATTTCGTCTCAGTTCCAAATGAAAAATATATATAACAAAATAAACTTGTAATATAATACTGAAGTTCTGTATTTCTCCTCAATTTATCCAGTTACTTGAAAATAAATTGTCCTGTACCTAAAGGCAGAAATTGTAAATGAAAATACGCTAATAATTCATTATAAACTATATACTACATTATCTAGACACCAAAGTATATTCCCTTCTAGGTAAAGGATGACAATATTATCAACAGTGTTTAATATATATCTGTAACTGTGTTTATAAACTGTTTCAATTCCGTTCTCTTCACTTTTTGTATCTCCTGCCTATTCTTTCATTTCATGTCGTATCTTTCATCTCTTCTTCCTTTCTCTTCCATCTCCTGTCTTCTCTCGCATCTGCTATCCATTCTCTTTCACTTTGTTTACTCTTATTTCTCATTTTCTGTCTTGTATCTCACTTATCTCCTGGACTCTACTATTCTATCTTCTCTCCCATTTTATGTCTTCTTTTCCAACTACCGTCACTTTTTTCTCATCTCTTATATTTTCTCTTCCACCCCCTTACTCTCATTTCCTACCCATTTTACTTAATCTTCTATCCTTTTTCTTCTATATTTTCTTTCGATCTTCATTTACACTTTACCCTCAAGTAATCTACTTTCCCTACCACTTTGGCTCGAAGCTTATTATATATAAGCAAAATACGGGGCGAACGGAGAAACAGACGGATGGTCGGAGAAATGGACAAACATCCGAAACAATATGAAGTAACTATCATATATACCATCCCCTACACCCAAGCGAAGGTTGTAAAAACAAAGGAATATCAATAAGGTCACAAAAACGGCGAGTATGACTTAAAAACAGATCATAAAAAAGAGAAATCCGGATTGGAAGATGGCCAGAGATTTTTTGATTCGTTGAATAAATTTGTCGTGTGTTTATGTCAGTAGTTGGCATGTGTCACTAACTGGAGGATTTACTAAAGCGAATACTTTGGGCATTTCTTCGACAGGTGTTTGATTACCTGTAAGACAAATTTATATAAATTGATTTCAATCGTAAACATGTACTTGTACTGTATATCTACATTGCTATCACCTACGGAAGTTAGGAGTTCCTTACATCGGGCGCCCCAAGCTTCTAGAACATTCTATGGCAACATTCTATGACGTGTTGTTTACCCAGCATACTAGATAGCTGTCTGTCATGCAGATCTCCTTACACCCAGTGTTGTCGGTGTGTTTGTGTATAACTTAGAGACTTAGTGACTGGGGTCCCCTACTGAGTTCACAGTGATTAAGTGAGAACTGCAACTGTAGACGGAACTACCTTGTTCTCACTGTGTGTCTACAATAAGAGATTTTGGTTCCAGAGACTCGACAATTAACTACAGCAGCCGGGAAATACACTTGATTACACCGAAATATAACTATACAATTTTACATCCAAAATAACACACCGTATCTGAGCCAACAGTAACCCAAAGGCACTAAAACACACACACACACAAAATACATTTATGACACAAGAAAACACCTCGTGACACCCCATTAAAAACACTGAACATCGTAAATCAAGTTCAAAGCGGGAGAAAACCGGAAAAACAGGATTACTAGGTGAAGCGAGTGAATTGTTGATGTCCAAGGCAGAGGCGGTGTACAGCCAAGGGTAATCTCTCCCCCAAGGATTTTCGACTCTTTCTGACGAGGAAGTGATGTTATCTATGACGTGTAACTTGTACTGAGTGTAATACAGGGTCAGTACATGACTATAAAGTGTCAATGATTAGGTTACGGAGCTACCGGGTACACTCTTATTCGTCTTTAGATTTAGGAATCACACCTGGGATTCAATGGTGGTGTAATACAAATAATAATAATAATAATAATAATAATAATAATAATAATAATAATAATAATAATAATAATAATAATAATAATAATAATAATAATAATAATAATAATAATAAAAATAATAATAATAATAATAATAATAATAATAATAATAATAATAATAATAATAATAATAATAATAATAATAATAATATTTATTTCCAGTTCATTATGATAAGTTCTCGATTTTAGAGATAAAGTCCTATTGTCAAAATATAATGAGATATTTTCTTCATAAACACGAGGAAAACACAAAAGGATCATAGGACATCAGGACCAGAGGACATCTTAGGACATCAGAAACAGAGGACATCTCGGAGGGACATCAGAACCAGAGGACACCTTAGGACATCAGAACCAGTGGACATCTCGGAGGGACATCAGAACCAGAGGACATCTTAGGACATCAGAACCAGAGGACATCTTAGGACATCAGAACCGATGGACATCTAGGAGGGACGTCAGAACTAGAGGACATGTTAGGACATCAGGACCACTGGACATCTAGGAGGGACATCAGAACGAGAGGACACCTTAGAACATCAAAACCAGAGGACATCTTAGGACATCAGAACCAGAGGGCATCTTAGGACATCAGAACCAGAGGACACCTTAGGACATCAGAACCAGTGGACATCTCGGAGGGACATCAGAACCAGAGGACATCTTAGGACATCAGAACCAGAGGACACCTTAGGATATCAGAACCAGGGGACACCTTAGGATACCTTAGCGTCAACTGGTAATCCCACACCTCGAGGAACTCAAGATATATAAAGAACTTAACACAAACAAGTGCCAGTATTTTTCTCTCTCTTGTTTCTTATACTTAACACAAATCATTTCTTTATAAACGCAAATATTAAAATAGTTATCCACAAAAACAACAACTCGAGATCATGTTATAAATAACTCGTAAATGAGTTACAAACGTGGGGTCAGATTTTTTTTTTCCTTGGCGACGAGACAAGTTTGAGGTGTCGGGGAGAGATGTGGGCAGGTACAGGTGGAGGTGTGGTGAGGAGGAGGTCGTCAGTCACCTGCCAGACTCCGCGGGTGGAGCACGTCGGGCCGCCTGCTCAATCCCCTCTCTCTCTCTCTCCCTCCCCCCTCCCTTTGCTTCCCTTGTCGTGTGGGCCTCTCTTGAAAATCCTAAGGAGATAATGGAGGACTTATATAAATTTTCTGGTAGTTGAGGTGTTTAGATGGAATAACATACAATGATAATAAGTACTTGGTGTAAGTGTTAAGGAGTTTGGGAGCTGGGTTACTCAGAAAGTGGTGTAAGTCGGCAGCATAAAGTGGAGCCCGTGTGTGACCTCTCAGTGTACATGTGGCAGAACGAGGCCACCCAGTTACCCTGATCAATAAAACATCCGTCAGATAATTACGTTAATATATTTCATTCACTAATCAAGACCCAGGTGTGAAAATAAGTGATATTTAGAGTAAACACGCGCGTTCACTCACATTTACCTTATCTTTAGACTCAAACACACTATTATAATTCAATTAAACACTTATTCGGAATTGTCTCTGATTTCAAGCGTGCATAAGTGAGTGTTAGTAGACTTAGCTAGGTTGGACTTTCACTCGCTAATTGTTGAGATGCAGCAAGCGGAGGCGTGACCTTGCTGACCACCCGCTGCCCCCACACTGCCGCACACCACACCACTCGCATTGCTCCAGATCAGCTGTTCCCCATGTGACCATCCACGAGTGTTTGTTTACGTCGAGGTGAGTGTGGCAGAGTCGTGTTAACTTAGTGTTTACTGAAGCATTTCTGGTATGGTTTACTTGCATTTTCGTTAATGATATATAAACACAGTAATTGGTTCATATATTACAGTAAGAAAATGACATAAATGTTTCCTATTTATTTATAAACAATATTTTGTGTATTCAAACACCTTTAGTAATATATCTGTGTTAAAACTGTAGTGGACAAGTTTAATTTCCTTCATTATATTAAAAAAATAACTTTTCTTTCCATAATTATTCACAACTTCCCAATTTAACTTATTAATGAATCTCAAAATTATAACAGGTTGATATCATTCCTTGTGTTACTAAGTTTACCTATACGACAGTTAATACACCCTTTTATTTACACGAGATTACTGTTTGTTAGGGTTAAAAAATAAAGTTAGTCTCGACACCAATGTTAATGAGCTTAGAGATAGATTTTTTTCAAAGAGAGAAAAATATAAAATTAAGGAAGGCATTGGATAGTTTGCTGTGCACTAGTTATCAAATACTTTATCTTGACGAGAATTTATTATAAAAACAAACCTAACCCAACGATCGTAAAATATAATAAAGTTAATTTAGTTAGGTCAGGTACGATTTGGTTGGTTCGTTTTCTAAATAGCACTTGGCGGTAATATAGCGTGCCTGTACTAATGAAACCCGACATGTCAGACCGTGTTTATAAGACTTCTGGCTCGAGGAAAAATTTCCTTTCAGTAAAAATAGTTCCTCACGATCTATAATTCAAGCATTGGTGATGATTTAATACTCATAAGCCTTATATGTCTTACTTGACTGTCTAAACAAACGATATCCTTTAACATAAGCACCACAGTACATACATCAAAGTGTCTGGTGTCGGTTCCAATACTATTTCCACTAACGTCACTCTTCGTAAAGTGATATTATAATGTATTCATTCACTTTAACAACTAAGGTTTTTAAGCGCACAATCTAGGAGATGCTGATGCTATAATGCATTAAATTGTGCATTCTTTATGTTGATGTTATAACGTATTACTTTACTTTAACAACTAAGGTTTTTAAACGTGTGTTGCAAGTTGGTAAATATACTAATCAACAACAACTAAACATAGGAGACTCATCGGTAAATCACTCGTCACTGGAGGTATGCTTTTGTAGGCGATGAATAAATTAATAAATAATAGTGAAAACAAAAATAGAAGGTAAACAAATGTAGATATAAATGAAAAAGACTAACATATAAGAAAACATTCCATATGTATAAATTAAATCAAGAACAAAAATAAATGATTAATAAATACAAGTAAATAGCAAATACAAATTATAAAAACGAAAAATAAACAAAAATATAATTAAAAATATCAAGTAATAAACGTGAAATAAAATAAAAGGAAGACAAAAAATAAAGAAATTAAGATAAAATTCAATTCAGAAGGTCTCCATCTATCCCACATACATAAGCTAGGTATGAAAGAGGTGTTGTCGCAGATTTTAAGTGGATTATGTACAGGAGGAGACAGGAGTACCCGGAAACCTAACCTGCTATATTCTGTAAGGTGAAACGCTATATCACTCTTCTTACATCCGATCAAGTGCTGAAAAGTCGCCGTACTATACCGCTACACCACAGATTATTATATTATTTTTATTTTCACTCATACAAGATCCCTTCCGTCATATTGGAGTAGCCAGACCCAAGAATATATCAACTCTTCGTTTATTCACTCTGTTACTTTTGGCCTTTACTACATAATTACTTTAGACTTCAGAGTAGAACTAACATACTGAACTATTTAACTACTAATAAGAATCACAAATTGGACCAGAAATGTGATAATTATCTCTCGCTATGTGGGGGGCTATTGTAAGAAACCTTTTGTACAAGTTTTCATCTATATCAAAATATAATGAAACTTGTAGGACAAACACCCAAATTTGGAGTTTTATTTTTTGAGTTTTGGCTCTTGGAAAATCCTCAGTTCACACCCTGGACTCAATGCTGGCAATCTGTGTAATAACTTCACAAGTAACCTTTATTATAACCGACTGAAAATAACAAAAAGAGACCCGAAGTTAGCTAATTATTTATATTCTTCTCTGACCTCTAAAAAGTTCTAAATAATCAGACAGAAACATGTCTTTGTTTTTGGGGAGACATTCTACAGCAACAGTATCTCGTCCTCCTATTGTTGGAGACATTAAAAAAACTATACAAGCAAGACAATGTTAAGAGTAATTACCAAGTCTATTTAACAGTTTTATTGTCTCCGCGTGTACGGTCTATACTACAGGTACAGTGTGAGGGAAAATACAGGACGTTTACATGATTATATATATTTTTTGTAACGGAACAACGTGAACATAATGTGGGGTTCAACCTTCACAACAATATATAATAACGACATAAATCACAGATGATAAAGAAACTGAAGTAATTTAATGCTGACTAAGAGATGTAAGTGTTAATTCGGCGAACTACAATGGTAGAATTTGCTCCACTTAAGATGTTTTTGTATAATACGTGTTTGTGACTGGCGGGAGAGGTTGTCATCACAGCAGTCACCAGGATGTGTCGCCAGAGCAGCGTGTGGTTGTGACGGAGTTAACATTAATGGTTCTTATAAACACTGTACTGTGGTGCTAAAGTACCCGTAACAGAAATATTAACACCAGGTAGGATCATTCTGTACTCTGAATCATTAAGAGTTTGTGGAGGTCTAACGTGAAAAAACAACATTGTGATTGACAAATATAATTTCCTGCTTTACAAATCAGGGAAACGAGAGGCGGTTAAAATGTTTTACAATCTGGGTATATATACTGTAAGGCAGAACCACAAACCAGAATTCAGTTTTCACTATAATTTCCCCTGACTGTAATACATAATGATTTACTCTACTTGTCCTTTAGAAGTTTAGACTCACCATGTCAGTCTTAAGGAAGTTGTCTGACTACACCTCAGTAGCGTCCTTCAGCTCCTCATCCTGCTCAAATCCCGCCCTCGGAGGCAGGAACGACTACAGGTTTCGAAAAAGATTATGGACACATGAGGCGAGATCTGGGCTGTCGGGAGGGTGGTGCATTTAATTGAAACCACAATTATGAGTATACATCTGGACGACACGGGATTTGTGGATCAATGTACAGTATCGTCGTCTTCGAGCAGCACCTTCACATCTCTAGCCAGCACCCCATGTTTCTCTTGGATGACGCTATTCACTTTTCATATTAGGACATTATAATGGTCAGCGGTGATCATTGTTTCATGCGGCAGGTAATAAATTAGCAGAAACCCTTTGGCATCCTAGGAAATCGAGGGCATGATCTTATCGACAGAGAGTTGATTTCTGAAAATTTGGATGTTTTCGTTGTATGGATTCCATCTTTAACTCGGCGTCCCCAAAATGAATCGAGGTCTAATTATTCGTCACCAGGTGTTAAGGTTTAGGGGAAATCACCCTGCAGAAACATTAAAATATACTCAGAATGTTTATGATATATGGTTATAAAATTTCCCTGTGATACATAGACCATGAACTCCTTAGCTTAGCTTGTTACAGTGATATATAAGGGAACAACTGTGGCATACACTAAGCGCCAATGAATATCTTTTTATGTTGAGAATCGTAAGACACTCCTAACCTCAATATTTCCCCAAAGTGAAGTTTTCTCCGATGTCATACTTCTAAACACTCATTCTGAAGCAACAGATTCCATAAGTGAAATAATACCAAACCATTCAACTTTGTAACAAGAAAATTTGAACCTGTTCCCTTACGACCGCCTCTTTCTATGTACCTTTATCTTTAACAGGTAATATCTAATGTTTACACTAATTTAGAATATACGCTTAAGGACCTTAGTTGTTGAAGTAGAGTAAAACATTATAATATTAACACGGCTGCATTATTTACCACTTATTTTGAAAGCAATCTTGACATATTCAGCAACTGTCATGATCTCACAATTAACGACTGACTGAAATGAAAAATCAGTGTGAAAATAACTAACAGATCTCTTTATATATTTGTTAGATATTAATAATTAACAAGATAATTGTTTATGTCGTTAGAATGTTAATCAAGACATTAGGAAGTTAGATAGTTAGTTACTGAGTTAAAAAATCTCGTTCGACAGTCAACACATTTTGTACTAAGAATAATATACATATCCAACTATGAGGCCACACGCGTCTGGCCTCAAGAGTGACGTGTCTAGGCATTGTTTGGGGGGTATGTGAGGCGCCTTGTTCACTCGTACCCAGACGCAGCGGCTGGTATTTGAGCATATCTAAGAATGTGAGGTAACAGCATAGTATAACAATGTATTGGCGAGTCATAAAAACTGTGGTAATATATATCACAACTTGGCGCTTTACCTTATATATTAGAGCTTGACATACCAGTACATCTATAGGCCTCAGGTATTAACATATAAAAAATCTCATATCATAAAACCTTAATTATCAGCATATCTAAAAACCTCACACATCAACACCCCTAAAAACCTTAATTAATTATCAGCATATCTAGATAACCCAATTAGTAGCATACATAAAAACCTGATTTAGGATCATGTAAAAAAAAAAAAAACCCGTCTGAGCCAAAAAAATTTTACCTGGTCGTATTGCTCAGTCATAATAGTAACACCACAAGAAAATTATATCCCTGGTATTTACTAGATCTCAGGGACAAGATATCTTAGACATTTAACAGCGATAAAATTAGGTTGGGATTTCCGTCGGATCCACAAAAACGGGATAATTTAATTCACGAACACGGATTTGGATCTTTTTTTTTTTATCGAGTATTGAAGCTTTGGATTGGGTTAGGTTAAGTTAGGTTACGATTGGGGTTGTTAGATTAAGTTTGGTGTAAGTTAGGTTAAGTTAGGTGAGGAACAGATTAGTTTAACTTAAATTAGGGAATGGATAAGTTTAGTTAGATTAAGGATAAGTTGGGTTAGAGGATGGATAGGTTAAGTTAGGTAAATGCTATGGGTAG